CTCTGGTTTCACAGGTTTGTACTGTCGTTGCCATTTGACACACGGGCGGTCTGAGGCAGAGGGAAGCGTCGTGCTCTTCCCGGTCCCCACAGCCCGCCAGAGACAAAGCCAGGCTTGGAACCCAGGCAGTCTAGGGGCAGAAAGGCCCTCTCAGCCCTGCAATGTATGGCCCCTTTACATACATGTGGGGGGGGGGGAGGCTAAAATGAACACATTCTATTTGATCAACCGCGGACACACAGGCATCCTGAGTTTGCCGACTGTCACCTGTGACCTTGTAACCCCACAGTGCTGAGCCACCACAACGTGCATAGATTGAGGACAATGTTCCCTAAATAGACTGAGGACATCTTCCCCAAATAGTTTATGCATGCATACACACACTCCCGGCTCCACTGGGCCTTAGCCACAGGGACATTTTTATGTCATCCAAGGACATTACCAGAACTCAACACATAATGTTCAGAGCTGTTGTCATCAGTGCCATAAACTTTTGCAAATTAATTTCTCTCCTAATTACAAACATAATACATGCTCATCAGAACAATGCAAAGCTTGCTGACATATACAAATGAGTCCAGCTTTAAAGATAAATATGCAGAACATTAGGACAGTGACTTGAAAGGAAGTACTTCGGGGAGGGTCCCAGGGTGTGCCAGGCTTTGTAGGGACTTAACTTGAGGAACTCTCTTCCTTTTCTAATAGCTAACTTGCAGGGAGAGGGATCGCTCCTAATGGACAGGGATTTGTAGCCAGTTTTAAGTGGTCTGTAAGCATCTCTTTGGAAGACAAGTCTACTGGAGTACTTGTATAAGGAGATACATTCTTTTTATTTTTTTTAGGAATGAATTGAATTTATGCAAAAGGTCAGGTGGGGCAGAGTGGGAAGCGCTGTACGAATAATCGAATAATTGCAGCTGGCTGTGGGTGGAGACTGAAAGCCAGGGCAGGGCTCCTGCTGTCAGGACCTTCTCTTCTTCTGTTGTCATATTTGCCCCTCAGATTATGTCCCACGGAAGGTTCTAGCAGCTCAGTAAGAGCCTTCTGGTCCTACTGTAACTGACGTGGAAAGAGCATCGGACCTTGGGAAGCTTCTGGCGTCCCCACTTACTAACTGAGGAGCAGCTTAAACTCGGGATGGACTTCCAAGTTCCCCTTCATAGGCAATGGCAGGCTGCTGCCCTGTCTCTTTCTAAGGCCAGCAGATGATAATGAGGTCAAGAATATGAAGTGTGTAAATGCTCACTGCCGTGTATGCAGGTTACAGGGTGAGAGGGTCATTTCTCACTGCTCGGATGCTTGCCTCTGACTGGGAAGAACTGGTCTGAGCTGGAGAAAAATGCACTTGAAAGCCTCGACTCTTAAAAAGGAAACTATGGCTCACACAAACGTCAGGCTTATTTGTAAAAGGTAAGTAATGGAAGATGAACTGGACATGCCGAACAGGCAGAAGGACATCTGGGTTTCATATCTTCCTCTCTCATCTCTCCTTGAAAGGAAGAAAGAAAAGAAGAAGGAAGGAAGGAGGAAGAAGGGAATAGACCTTGAGGAACATCATTAGAAAGGAGGATGTAACTTGGGGACAAAGCCATCCACTGAGAAAATATTGTTTTCCTCATTCCTCTCGTTAGATGGAGTTCCTTTAGGGTGGGATTAGATTTCGTTATTATGGGCCCTACTCCTTGTGGGACAGGAATTATTTAGGGTGGACCATATGGCCGAGCCAGTTTGGGAGATGGAAAACAGTCTAATATTGGCAGTGTGGAACAAGCAAACCTCATCGGTGTTAGACACAGGAGCAAGAGGCCCTAGAAACCTGTTCACCCGGTCAGCCTCAACTTCCTGTCCCCTCATAACACCTCCTGTCCCCCTCCAGGCCCAGCGCAGAGAGGCAAGCCTCTCTTCCACTGCCCAACACTCATGCCTCTCTCTTTGAAGGCAGTCTTTCATGTTCCCTTGACCTTAACATTTTCTAGGTGTGGAGTTAGCAGGTGGCATAGTGGTTAAGGCGTTGCACTCCTATGTGGCTGACTGAGGTTTGAGTCCTAGACCTGGTGGCTTGAAAAATCACGCCAAACTGGTGTGTGTGTGTGTGTGTGTGTGTGTGTGTGTGTGCATGCTCAAAACCCTGAGAAGAAAACGAGGGAGAAAGGACTGCAAAGAGGCCATCCTTCTCGGGGGGTAATTTCTCAGTTTCCTTCTTACTGTCTCTCTCGGTGAGAAAGACATGTGCCCTATGGCAAAAGTCTTTCAAAAATAAATAAGTAAAATTTAAAATGAAACAATTTCTCCCTAGATGTTGAGCACATGCTGTGCAAGCCTCCTCTTCTTACAGTCTCCATATTTCTAAAGAAAGGGCCTCATTTTTCAGATTTGAATCTTCATTTCATTTGATGGACACAATCAGCTCTAGTCAAACAAAATGGCTGCTCCTCACTAGAGTATGGTGCAGATTTTTTTCTCTCCCCCTTTCTTCTTCCCCTTCACTCTTCTTCCTCTCTCCTCCGTTCTCCACTCTTTTTTCTCTCTTTCTTCTTTCCTTTCCTCCCTCCCTCCCTTTCTGGGAATATAGGAGGACCCTTCTCCTGGCCTGTGCAGGGAGCCTGAGGGCATGCCAGGCCTTAGGCTGGAGAGGAGATCCCCTGAGGACAGCCGTGGAAGAAGCTTTATCTCAGGTTCCCAGGAAGAGCACCGGCTCTCTCAGCTCTCCTCCAGCCCCTGGTGCTGCCGAGCACTGGATGGAGGCCGCGTTGAGAGGAATATGTGTGAACTGAGTAGACCTCAGGTTGAACTCATGAACTTCCACTTCTCCTTCCATGTATTTGTTTCGTTTATTTATTTTTGTCTGAAAGATGAAGTGTGGCAGTGTTGGGCTCTGTGATCAAATCACTTAACATTCATTCTGCACATAGCCACTTAAAAAGGAAAGTTGCCCATGCGCTAGTGCTTGCCACAGAGAGGGAGAGGGAGAGCGAGAGGGAGAGGGAGAGCGAGAGGGAGAGGGAGAGCGAGAGCGAGGGAGAGGGGGTGGGGGGGAAAGCCCTCACTGGGGAATGGTCACACGGCAATCAATTCTCCTCCATTTCGTCACCTTGTTGAGATTTGGGGATGCATGCACATGCACCTCGCATGCTTTGCAGGCTGCTGGGGCCAGGACTCTAACGTGTGGTCAGCCATGTGGGATCCGGCTCCTCCAATTGTGCTGTCGTTGGCATAAACAGCAGCTTTGTGAATGCTGCTTTTATCGCAATGACTATATACAGAAGCCGTGAAAGGCCATCAACTCCCCTTGTCACAAGTTCAAACAGCAGGAGAGAGTGGGGCCTGGTAGTGCTAGCAGGATGGCCCCAGGGACACGCGAGGAAGAAAGTTGGCTCGAAGGATAACCATGTCTGCTCTGTCCCTGCTGCATCCTAGGCCTAGAACTGAACTGGAAGGAGGTGCTGTGAGAGAGGGTGAAGTGGACAGGAAGGCTACGACCCTTAGGTCTCACACCGAGGAGGCAACTGCGTCGGCACCCGAGAAACAGCCGCTGAGTGGGCGGAGGCTAGAGCAAGCTGACTCAGGAGTCTGTGTCCTCCTGTCTCCTAGGTCATCCCTCCACTAGTCACTTGCCACGCATCCCCTCCAAGCCCTGTTCCTTTTCTCTCACACGGGAGTGCCGTCCTGGTCTGGCAGGGTTACCGAGGGGGTTAAATGGAAATTGACATACAGCACACAGAGAGCATAACGGGAGGCACTTACTAAACGGCGGTGCCTTTTCCTCCCATGCCCCTGGCTTCCTTAAAGGTGTGTGTGTGTATTTGTGTGTGTGTATATGCACGTGTTTGCATGTGTGTATGGGTCTGTGTGTGTATGTATGCATGTGCGTGTGTGTACATGTATGTGTGTGCGTGGAGGGGTCTGCGCATTTTGCACGATGTAGGGAGGCTAGGGGAAACAAGTCGCTGAGCTCATGATGCTCAAGGTTTCTCCGACTTCCCACTATGGCATTTTAGGCCAAGTGACTATTCGCTGTAAGGGTTGTCCTGAGCACTGCGGGGGCTTAGTAGCATCCCCACCTTCCTCCCACTAGATACCAGTGACACCACCCCATTCGTGACAGCCAAATGTGTCTCTTTTATTCATTCATTCATTCATTCTAATTTGACCAGAGAGAGAGAGAGAAAGAGAGAGAGATAGAAAGCCAAACAGCAAGCCACCAGGTCTGGGACTTGAACCATGGTCGGCTATGTGGGAGTGTCCAGCACCTTAACCACCATACTACGTGCTGGTCCCCCAAATGTGTCTCTTGATACTGCCAGATGCTCCCTGAGAGACAGAAGTGCCCCAGTTAGGAACAAGTGATACAGTTCTAATGACCCATTGACTAATTCATTTTTTTTTCCCCAGAAGGCATATGCAATTGCTGGAGAGAGACAGAGAGAGAGAGAGAGAAGGAAAACGAGAAACACTTCCCAGGGTGGATGAGCACGCCCCAATCCCTTCTCCTCTGTTCTCCTCTTGGGATTTTGGGCATGCACACACACAGGATCCAGCCACCTTAACTTCTATGCCACTGGCTGACCCAAGTACTTCATTTATAAACAAGTTGTTCAGGTACTGTGTAGACATTGCCTGTGGCTGTATTATGTTTAAATGTATCTAAAGTCAGGGCTTATATAGAAAAACAGCTAATATCCAATTAAAGGACATAGCCAACCCTTAATTATCCATGAATTGAGTAATGATGTAGATAATTAAAAGTCCTTTTAGTCACACCATTTCTCTGCATTAGATTGCTTCTCTAATTATGGTTAGTTTAGGCTAAAAATAGTGCAAGTAATCAATTTCCTGAATGCATCCTGACTGACGACAGGCAAATACACATGAAAAGAATTCATTTGGGCTTCTTTCTTAGATTTTCATGGACACTCATGAAGTGGATGTTTTAACCAGAGACGATCAAGCCACGTTCCCCATTAGCAAGCTGAGAAAGTAATAGCAACGCTCATACTCACAGGTGAATTAAAGACTTCAGTCCCCGGAAGGTATGTCTGGAAATGCTCTTGATGTTGTTGTTTTCTATGAATCTGCAATAGGTTACAACATGGTTTTGTCAGACAATCGTGGGAACTTGAGAGCGCTTGTCCTGAATCATGTGGAAAACATTTTTTTTTTTTTTTTTACTTACAAATACTCTAGATGCGGAAGACCAATAAAAGCATCATCACTGATCACATCAAAGGAGTTCGATGTGAATAACCTGCCCAGAAAGAGTACACAATGAAAACGGTGAAACTGACAGACTGTCCATCTTTGCTGCTTCATCACTCCGAGCAACGAGTGGGAGTCCTAGACAGAAAATGTCTGGATGTGTCTTCTACAGTATTGTTATGCAGATACGCGTGCAGCTCTTTTTATTCCTAATCGTCTCTTCACCAAACATTCATCCAAGGGCTATCTGGTACCCACTCCTCAATGACACCTGTCACTGCCCTGGGTGACATGTTGAGATGTAATCAGAGCGGGTCCCTTGACCCAAGCAGCCAAATCAACATTGTGCATGTTTTCATGAAAAAAAGACACTAATGACCTTTTCTGATTGCTCTAGAAACTTCTGACTGGCTAAAACTATGGTGCTTTGGGGGTTTTAAGCCTGAGAAACCTAGAAAAGTGTAACCCTATATTCCATCGTGCTGTTCTAGCTCAGGGCAGGTGAGCCATTGACACTGTCTTGATGAATGCCAACTTACCTCCTTCTTAGAAAATAGAACACACTGGGGTCAGCAGGTGGCATAGTGGTTAGGGTGCTGGACTCACACATGGTGAATCATAGCTTGAGTCTTGGGCACAGTGGGTTGAAAATCATGGTGGGCTTGTATGTCCGTGTACCCAAAATCCCGAGAGGAGAATGGAGAAGAAAGGATTGTGGTATGGCCATCCCCCTGGGGAGTGATTTCTCACTTTCTGTCTCTCTGGCAAGGACACATGCCCTATAGCAAAAATCTCTCTAAGAAAGAAAATAGAATGGGAAACAGTGAGGGTTAGGAAGTCTTGGACCCATTTTATTACTAAATAGTTGAAAAAAACACTTTCAATTGGGCAAATTTACTGGCAATTTCAGGATCTGCAGAGATTTGATTTCAAAATTACTGATGAAAAGAACATCAGCCATCCTCACACCCTGTTGAAATCCTTGGAGAACTTCCCAGTTTTCTGAATAAGAGGCTTAAAAGAGATACTTTTAGGACAGATAATATGATAGTATATTAGATAATACAATAACATAATCAATAATAATAATTCTGTTAATAAACCTTATGACTTTTACTTTTGAAGTCTAAGGATTAAAAACTTTAGTGACTTTACCTCTAAACTTATTCACTAAGGGGATTAAACTAGGAGATCTCACTTTCCAAACATTTATGAGTAATTATTTGAAATTAGGATTGCTTCAAAATAATCAGGGGATGGGACTGCACGATGATCTGGGCATGAGATGATAAGTTTTGAAGACGAATACATAGGAGTGAATTTTAGTACTATCTCCACTCATATATGAAGATTTGAAGGTTTCCATAAAAACGGAGAGAGGGCCAGCAGGTGGCATGGTGGTTAAGGCACTGGATTCCCACATGGCTCACTGTGGTTTGAGTCCCAAATTTGGAGGCCTGAAACTCACGCTGGGCACGTGTGCATGCGTGCATGCCCGAGAAGAATGGAGGAGATGGGATTGCGCCGTGGCCAGTCCTCCCAGGGAGTGATTTATCACTGTCTCTGCTCTCTGGTGAGCGCACACACCCTGTGCAAAAACTTTAAAGAAAAGGGGTAAGGGATGAACCAATGGAACAAATGAGATCATCTGTTTCACTCCTCCCTAAACTATCAGTCCTGGATGGGTGGCAGATTCCCTCCTAATCCCTCCTCCCTCCAACATCATGGCTTTATACTCAAGTAATTCACTGGGCTCCCCAAAGCCAACACTAATAAATAGGTAACATTTTAGAGCTCCATGGTTATTAAAACTATTCAAAAGTTTGTAACTCCTGTCACAACGTTGACAATGGTTTCCTTTTGCTTCCTGGTTCTCGAAAACAAGCAGATGCTCAGTCTCACTTCAAGGTAAGCGAACACCCCAGGACTCCCTTCGTTCTAGACTTCTGTTTCAGCCAGTTACAGGCAGCGTCAGGGGTGCAGAGCAAGGAACAAGGTGGAGATAGGCACAGGGAGGTACTGCCCATGCTCACCGGTTTGCCAAATGCCCCTTGGTTGGGCCAGAGGCTTCATAAACCACACACTCCACGTCACCAGAAGCAATAGCTTCTGTCTCTCGTTCCCCATATGCTAGATCAGATGCACACAGGGCGGGAGACGGACCGTGGTGGGCAGAGCTTGCCCACGCTTGTCATGGAAAGGAGAGAAGGTTTCCACTAGAATTTGTGTCTACTTGTTCATCGCTTCTCCCTTGCACCTCGGGTCCCAGAGTGGACGCTGAGTAAATATTTGTTGAGCAGAGAGGAGCTCACGTTACATTAAATTCTGATCATTGCTAGATTACTGGATCGGATGCTCCTTATAGCAAGGATTTACTCTTATTTGCTTTAGCGCTCCCAGGCCCGAGCACAGTTCCTGGCTGAATAATGTTTGTTGAGCCAGATTTCAGGGACAAAAACCTCAGGCTAAAACTACAACTCTGAACAAAAATAAGGACAAATAGTTGAGGGAAAGAAGCTAGAATACAGCAAGGTACACTTTGTAGGATCGCATTTACCTCAGGTTCTACCACCAGGAAAATCAATCTCTGCTGGGAGAAGCCAGGGTAGGGCTATTACTTTGGAGGTGAGGAGTGCTTGGAAGGGAGTATGAGCTGTGTTTTTGGGGTTCATGCGTGGTTTGGGTGCTTGGGACGAAGGTGTTCCTAGGGTCAGAAATCATCAAAATGCAGGCTTATAATCTGTGCACTTCCCTTTATGTGGGTTATCTTTCAATAAGAAAGTTGCTTATAGCAGTGAACAAGAGAAAACCTCTGTGGCTAAGATAATGAATACCATAGTCTTTCCATTCTAAATTCGGTTGTAGTTACTTTGAACAAGGAGGAGTGGAATTAGATATACGTTCTAAATATAGCTGTGTGGGCTCTCCATCTTCTCGTCCTATGTATACGCAAAGACTCATACTGTGTTCTGTAAAAAGGGTGGAACTCCAAGCCTTCGTTTTTTCAGAGAATTCTCTAAACGTGTTTGACTTCCATGTTTTTGATTCGTTACTGGGCCAGGCATGTTAACATATCCCATAGTCCCTGCTGAGAGGAATTGTGTCCTCCCAATCCCATGTCCTCGCACCACAGACCTGGGAAGACTGGGTGGCTTTGCGTCTCAACACACGACCTCCATCACTTTCCACAGATTATGAGGGGAAGAAAGACTCAGCTTCTCCCCCAGCGTAGCCAGTCCCTGGATGGGGCAGCGTGCCATGACCCGAGCAGCCTGGTTTCAAAAGGTGAGATGGATAGCGATGAGACTCTTCTTGGATATTTGAAATTGGCACTTTCAGAAATGGAGCAGACAGCAGAGCCACTGATGGAAAAAGGACGCCTTCAGGTTGAGCTGCAGGCAGGGCCGGCCAAAGCTTAGGGATGAACAGAAAATGGAAGAGACCTTGCAAAGGGAGGTGTGTTCCAGGGCCAGCGAGGGGGAGAGGCCTGGATCTGTGTTAGAGCCTAAGGCAGCGTTTCTCCATCTTGGTCACACCTGGAATCACCTGCAGAGTTTCAAAATATGGACACCTAGTTCCGTCCTCAGGGATTCTGGTTAAATTCCACACCTGAAGGGAGGCTTGAGCTATTTCAAGGCTCTCCGGGAAAGTCATGCAGCTCGGGCTGCACATGGTGAGCTTTTGGGGTCAGTCAAACCAGTCCCCGCCTCTTTGTGGTGACTGAGCCAGGAGGCCTCTGCTCCTCATAGCAAGGTTGACTAGAGCAGGTGCTGGGATTGTCCTGTCCCCATAACTACAGGTAATAAGTGTCTGCAATGTTGTGTCAGATGTGACAACTGTTCTCACCACAGCAGCATTATAGGGGGTTTGTGGGGACCAATGTGCAGCCTGAATGGCCTCGTTGCCCTGGATCACAGACCAGAGAGCTGGACCCCACAGGCTTGCCAAGCAGCTGTTCTGTGGGTGTGTGCAGGGGTGGCATAGAATTTCCCTCTGACCTGGTCCCATGGGGACATTTGAGGTTTCTGCCACGTTCT